AAGCAGCTGCTTTAAGCGGTAATTTAGAATGTTTAAAATATGCTTATGAAAATGGCTGTAAATGGGACGAACGTACACCTAATACTGCTATCGAAAGAAGAGATTTAAATATGTTAATATATGCACATGAAAATGAATGTCCGTGGGATGAAAGCACAACAGAAGCAGCTGCTTCTAGCGGTAATTTAGAATGTTTAAAATATGCTTATGAAAATGGCTGTAAATGGGATAAACGTACAACTACTGCAGCTGCCAGAATAGGTGATTTAAAAATATTAAAATATGCACATGAAAATGAATGCCCTTGGGATGAAAGCACAACAGAAGCAGCTGCTTTAAGCGGTAATTTAGAATGTTTAAAATATGCTTATGAAAATGGCTGTAAATGGGATAAACGTACAACTACTGCGGCTGCCAGAATAGGTGATTTAAAAATATTAAAATATGCACATNTGGGATATACTGATATAATTAACTATGCTACTAAAAATGGCTGTCCTGATTAATGTTCTGTTGAAATATCTTAATTTTTATTACATTTATTTATAGCACATTATTTTTGAAAATATTAACTGGAATTAATTTATTAAATAAGTATATTATATCTAAAAGTAACTATAAAAAAAAAATAATAAAAAATTCACAATATTTTTAGTTTTTGATTAATTTAATAACAAAAGTGTTATATAAATTTTTTTTCTGATAATAATGTTTAGTAAAATTTCGAAAAGAGACAGCTAAGAGTAACATATGTCAGTTTCGATATAAAATGTTTAATAAAAATAAATTAATACTTTAATTTAACAATATACTTTTTATTTTTCTTAATCATTATACATAGCCAATCCATATCAAAGCATCCAAATTGCTCGCGCGTCCATTTAAAACTTTACACAGCATCGCGCTCTGCTCTAGGATGGCATTCACTAGTATCTCTTTCAATTTCCATAAAATCCATACTATTTTCAAAGTCTAACTTAATCAATTTGTCAACTGCAACTGCTAATTTTAAGCTTTCTTCAGAAAATCTGTCATTCATGTTTACAATTAAACTATCTAGTACTCTATAATATCCATTAATGAGCCAATATTCTTCAACAGAACAGTTTCCAAAATTTGTATTTGTAAAATCAAAACTAGTAGATGTTATGTGGAAATTTTCTAATGAATTTGGTAAGTTTTTTCCTTTTTGATCCTGTAAAATAATATTTGTGTCTGGAGTTAAACCATTTAACCATATGCATATATATTTTATAATTAATCAGCAAGTACCTATTACTACTTAAGGTATTTAATGCATTTTCTACAATCATATGCTATATGTAATTCATAAATTAGTAATTATCATTGTTCATACCTTTAATACTGGCTGTATAGGTCAAATATCAGATTTCCTAAATCAGTTACATCATTATTAAAGTATGACTCATTTGTATCCTTGGCATTGGGTAACGATGCATTCATATCAATCACATTTATACTACAACCTGGTTCAGCTAATTCAGATTCATGTTTGTTATCTTTAAAACTTGCAGTAAGTGTTAAGTTAACATCAATATGCATTGAGTTAGATTCATTTTTTTCTTCAACTGGACTACTCTTGTTACCAGTTTTACCTGTTTTTTAAAAATGAACATATCAATATAATTTTTTTTTATATAGATGCTTGATGTCTTTACCTATTATTTGGTATATTTTTTTTGTAATTTTGACTTTTTTTCTGCCCACAGGGAGGGATTTAAAATGACAACTTTTTCACAAAAAATTAACTTTTTCAACTTAACTTTTGAAAATGTTCCGGAAGGTCTGACACTTTTATATATATCTTAAATTAAAGCT